GGGGGGGGGGATGAGGGGGGGAGCCTGTGCTTGCGCCTGTGTTTTCTGCTGGCCGATGGACTTTTCCATTGCTTGTGCTTCAGTACCTGGATGCGGTCGCAGCGGGATGAGCGGCTCGGCTTGCAGAGCATTTACTTCTAATCTCCGGCTTGTGACATCCTAGCGGAAAGGGGAGACCCTTTCAGGAGCAGCTCCGGGGGCTGGAAGGAGGGGAAATGGCTGGTGAAAGGCTGTGATGAAGTATTTCCTAGTTCTGGTAAGCAATGCTTTTCTCTTTGGTCCCATTCCGGACAATCAGTCCGGATGCAAAAGTAATAAGGCTTAACGGGGTAAAAAGCAAAGGGAAAGGAGCTGAAAAAGAGACAGAAAAAACCCAATAAAGCCCGATCGGTTTGTACTGAAGCTTTTCCAGGGGTCAGTGCTCATCAAAGCAATTTAATTACTGTTAGCAAGAGGCTGGGAGCCGAGCAGATCAGCCGATGTTTGTGCCCCGGCAGTCGGAGCAGCTTTTACTTGCATGCAGTTTCATCGCCCACTCTGTATAATTTTTTTCTATGTGATTTCCACCTTGGTCTGGGGCCCACTCAGAGCTCACGGCCAGGTACCAGTGGTGTTCTCCATATCTTCTAGCTGAGCTGCTACCTGAATGCTGCCTTTTCTGCTTTCTGCTCTTTACTGCAGGAGTTTTGGAAGGTGATTCATCAATTCTTCTTGCTCCTAAGTTGATGCATGAAACCCGTCAACTTTTCTAGCTGATAAACTATCTTGATAATGAAGTCTAACTGCATTTTTCCCTGAAACCAGTCCCCTAGGTGCTGCAAATAGCTGATATATAGAGATTTGCAGAGAAAGATGTTTGGAAGAAAGAGGGTCTAGCTGGGCTACACAGTGCTGGACAGTGAGCTATCTGATGTCCTGGACATTAGCTTGCTCTAAATGAGAGGTTTGCAAGTCGATTTATCTCACAGGACTCTCAAAATGGGCGTCCTGATTCTAAGTTGAGTGACAGCAGAGCTCTTACACCAGGGATGAATATAGGGCCCTTGTTTAAAGAGGATCAGGGAATAATAAACCTAAGAGCAGCCTTTGCAATCTGGCTGTGTTGAATCTGCAAAGGTCTGTACATAACATACCTCTGTTGACTAAAAACAAAGGAAAAATACAGTGGTGAAGCTTTGGAAATTTTGCTGACAGGTACAGAGCTATGACCTTCTTGACAGACCTGTGTTCCACCCAAAAAACTGGTGCAACATTTGGTTTGGGAATACCAAAACAAATTATTTCTGGATTTATTTACAACAGGCAGAGTTAAAAACTACTCCTGGAGAATATCGCAGAGATGGTTTGTTTATAAAAATATTCCTCTCATGATGTATTCATACAGAAACCTCCGCTTGCTAAAAACTCACGCATTTGCTACACTTTGATGTTAGATACCGTGACACTTAGAGTGGGGCACTCTGGTTATTGTGCTAATTCTAGAGCAACCTTGAAGTTTCAAGCACCAGTTATATTAAACCTAAAGAGAAAGATCCTCCTTTCCTAAGTGTTAAGTTTTGGCTTGAATTTTTGTTTCACTTGTGTTTCTGGGTGACAACCTTTTGTACCAAATCTGTGTCTGGTGAAGAGTGGGTGAAGTGAACACAGGGAAGTGCACTGTGCAAGAAGGAGAGAGTGCAGGAATTCCTCATTTGTTGCCTTTGGAGGGGTTGATGATTTTATTTGTGGGGAAATCTTCTTAGAGGCAACAGCTTTTGCTTCCTCTCACTGAAACACCATGGTTCATTTCAAAAGGTTGAAAATCCTGCATTTCATGTTTCCTGGAAAAACACTTCTCAGCACCAGATTTTTTTTCTTGTTGAATTATCTTCTAAAACCTGCAGAAATGTTGATGTCAGAGTATCTTTGCTGTCGGTTTTGGGCTTGTGTGCATTTGACTTGTCTCCACATTCAGTCTGAGACATTGGGCAGTAGCAGTGGTTGTGTTTTCCTGGTCCCTGCTGCGGTGTTTCCTGAAAGGGTTAATTTCCTCTGTTAAATGAATGGCTTTGTATTATTTATAAAGAGAAAATCCTTATACTCATCTGTGGTATTTTGGTAAATCTGCCAAGATGAAATTTTAGGGCCAAGTAAATATTACAATATGCTAGATGTACAGATTTTTATAACATCTCAAAGACATTTCCTGAGAGATGCTGATTTGATGTTGGGGAGGTGAAGGACAGATTCTAAAGTCTTTGACTCTGGATGGAAATGGAATTGAATGGGCTACAGAATTAATGCATGTTCTGCTAATTGAATTCTAGTCTTTTCTCATGGACATTTGGGCTATAAAGGATGGATTTCACTTGTGAATAAAGCCCAAATATTTGGTAAGGGCAGGGAGTCATGAAAGATCCTAAATGAAGAATACTCCAGATCATTCTGGTGAAGACTCTTGGCATCAGTGTCAAGACAAGGTAATCAAGGAGATGGAAGATGAAACCTTTCCTTGCCAGGGAAACTTCCACATTATTTGATTGAAATTGGAATCCAGTCACCTCATGCTTGTCTCTCCAGATTTTTCTTACCACATCTGCTAAATTACCACCAGCTATTTGCGTTTTAAATGAGGGCCTCCTCCCGCACAACCCATCTGCTCAGCCTGTTTGTTCTTCCCGTGCAGTCACGACTTTGTGATCACGTTTATGTCAGAAGAAACACACTCGTGTTTTGCAGAGAAGGAAGAGGGGAGCAAGGTGGCCTTGCAGATTCCCTTGGCTGTGTTGAATTAAAAAAAAAAGTTGGGTTAAAAAAGGGAGAAGGACCTCTTATGAAAGAGAATTAAGCCAGAAAGTTCAGGTCACTTTGAGGACAAATCTTCTCTTTTTCTAGTACTATCCTAGGGAATCTTTATGATTAGACACCATAGACTCTTCCATGTCTAAGGTGACATAATTCATCTGGACATGTTCTTGACTGCCTTAATGCCAGGGAGGAAGCAGAAATTAAAGCTTTTCTTGCTTGGAGGTGGCTGAAATTTGAGAATACTTTACCGTATTCTAATCTCCCTCATTAAAGTGGAGGGGCTATAGTTTTTCAGAGATGTTTTCTATTCACCTTTGTGTAACAAACCTGGGGATATGATTATAGATGTAGAGGGATGTGAAAGAGCTCTACAAAGTTGTGAGTGAGATGGAGACAGTGAGTAGGACTGTTGACTATCTCTTCAAGCTAAAGACCCATTCAATGTCAGAACTAGCTAATAGAAGCCAGGTGCAGATCCAAGATGACTGTACCTGACCATTCAAATGTGAGGCAGTCCTGGTCTATAATCTAAATTACCATCTCCAAATAATCAGCACTGCTGTGGCCAACATGGCTTCTAGACCAGTACCTCCTTATGTTCAACCATCTTGAATCTGTCTGTACCCGTGTATGGATATGGATACTGACGTTACATTGTAAGATGCCCCAGAAAAGAGAAAGCTGGATATGCTGAGATGTACTCGGTTGTGGTTTCTTCTCCCAGCTCTCGAGGGAAGACATGAGCAGAATAGTTCCCACACCCCACAGCCATGAGGGTCCTGTAGACGGTGTGCCAGAGATTTAAGGTGTCATGACCTGGCTTAGCTCAGCTTATATGGCAGTCGCTCATGCCTGGTGTTCATTTTCTATAATGAGAAGGATCATTATAATGAGTGGGATCACCCACTCATAGCTGTAAGCAGCCGTCTGTCTCTTAGGTGGAACAGAGCAGCCAGGAGAGCAGAACATGTTATATTCACTGTGGAGATGCTGGGAAGGAATGAAAAGCAGTATGTAAGCAGTACTTTTGACTGAAGAAATTGCTCATGATGGCCTATGCACAGACACAGCCATGTGAGAGATGCCCTCTCCCTTCTCCTGCTTTGTGGTCGCTGTTGTCCTGCCTAAGAGAGAGACCATGTGTTTTCACGTGAAGACTGCAGCAGGCCTGATGCTGGGGAGGCTCCTACAGGAGATGCTGCAGGACTGTGCAGCAGCTGGTTCTCGATGATTCAGTATTTCCAGTTAAACTTGGTGTTTTGCTGTGATTCACAGCAGCTCTTGTGGGAGATGGGCTTGGCGGAAGCTGGAATTCATCCGCTCCCAACTGGGTGATGGATGGATTTGTTCAAGCTCGGGTTCCCACCATGCTGCCAGCAGAACAGCTGCCTCCCTGGCCTGCCATCCTCCCAAGCCAACAGCAAGGGAGAAGAGTGGTGTCTTCAGGAAAGGCAGCCCTGGTATTTCCACCCAGCAGGGCTCTGGGCGTTATTGCAATACAGGGAGTTTCCCAGTCCTGTCCTGAGGATGGTCCCTGTGGGATATTTTGTAAAATGTGAAAGGGTGAACAAAAACCCTGCAGATTTTTTAACCGCAGGGAAGGAGCTATGGGAGCCAGCCTTCTGCACGTGGTATGAGTGTTTTACACCCCTCCTGCTCCAAGGACTGACCATGAGTGATCACAGCCAGGTCTCAGGAACTGCTCCCACCAGATCCCTCCAGGCAGCAGGGAAAAAACTGCCTCCTCCATGGGACATTTCTCTTGCCCTTTATGGCAGGTGGACAGACTGCTGCAGATTTGCCAGCTTTACCTGCTCTAATTATTGCAGCTTACAGGTTCCTGACCTCATACCCATGCCTTTCCTGGGCATGCGGGATGCTCCTGGTGTCTCTCTTCTGCCGTGGCACTCAGAGGAAACCCTGATAGAGGTGGTGGTGGTTTCTTTGAGGAACCTCATTTATGTAGCAGTCCCACAAGTAGTGATGGCCCTCAAACCAGCCCGGTGACATCTGGTTTTGCAGATATCATCCTCCTCTAAGGCACGTTCCCACAGGAGATTAGCACAGCCAGAATATGAGGTTAGAGACAGATTGAATTGTATCCCTCCATGATAATGATTGAGGGATTGGTGAGCTTTGGGGGACAGGAGTGGAAGTATGCATAAATACTTTTCTGGCTGTACTTGGCACAGAGGATCTATTGCACTGGAAACTTAAAGTGATGGATAAAAGCTCTTTTAGATTTACAAGTTATCCTGGATGGCTGGATCCTGATTTTAGTCTCAGGGATGTAAATCCGGTAAAATAAGCAAAATTCCTCAGGATTTATACCAGAATAAGAGATACATGGTCTATTACGAGGGATATGGCACCTCATATTGTGATAAACACAAAAAGTGATCATTCTGCTCTCTGTATGCAGGTCCCAGGGCTCCCTCTGCCCGGACAGATGGGAGGGAGGAGAAGAGG